GTCAAGCAGAAGATGGATATACAACAGAGCCAGAATTTTGAACCCTACGACAAATTTTCGCAAAAGCTGATGCACAATCCCAAAAATAGAGACCCTCAATCGCAGGCTCCCCATCCTTATAATGTCGCACACCAAGCCCATGAGTATACATCAACGGATTCAGGTCGTGCCGAAAAATGAGGATTTTATTAGTCTCGGACCATCTTCCTGTCAAGCTTGCTAATTCTGAACAACGTAATGGAACTCTGGCAGGTGGTATAAACCTAACCACAACTTCCGTCATCTTGAAAAAATCTGCGCGTGAAGGTATCGCTGCGTCATGAGGAAAAATAATATATGTCGGTATGAAATTTCTGTTTCCAGGGATGTAGTCTGGACTGTTTACGTGTATAGCCTCAAAACCGATCTTATTGTAATTTCTAGTATTCCAGCCTGGTACTCTTTGGAGGAATGGGGGGTGATCGAATTCTGCAGCTCTCATCCAGCCTTGCCGTCGTTGAATTACAGTGCTGGTCATGAACTCTGCAAATCCCATCTGGGTGCCTTTGACATCCCGGGGATTGTCTAAATCGAGTGGGTCGGAATTGCTGACATTGCTGACACTAAAGTCTAAATGGTGTATTAGAAGAGAAATTCTGAACTGCAGTCCCTTGTAACACACCATCTCCACGACCAACCCTTTCAAAGAGACTAGGCATTCTTGCCAGTATAATCGACTCAATATCTACCTTTTTGTTGTGAGCCAAGCACATATTCAGGGCAAAAGGATGAGAATACCTATTCAAGTTTGATACTCGTAAATAAATGCTGCAGTGTATTTCTGCCGAGTAATTCTGATGTTTAGCTATGATGTGTGCGAATTTGCTGTGGATTATCGTTGTATTATCTGTTGAGTGAGTGTGTTGTGTGAATAAGACTTTGACTGCTTGAGGGATGTGATATAAGCTGGTATATAAAGTATAATTAAGAGGAAGGGATCGATGCAAGACTTTGACCATTTCAGTTGGAAGGTACAATGGCGGCTACCAAACTAGTTTTCAAGGAGAGGCCCAGAAGGAAGTGCTTTGGAACGTCAATCGAAGCAACTATTGTTCTCAATGGGAAAAATTTGGAAGCATCAGTACTGATCATAAATTATAGGACTTGTAGATCAGGGCTAGAGTTAAACAGCAGCGGAAGAGTCTCTCCATATCTATTGGATTGGTTCGGAGTGGCTGGTAACTGAAATAGTAAAGTGTGAAATATCGTGGAATAGCATATCTCATTCAAACAATGAAATCTTTATTACTGGTCTATGGACTCCAAGTACCTAGATATCGGAAGATCAGGGAGTTAAAAGATGTATTGGAGTAATCAACAGAATTTGGTAACTAGTTCTACGGCAAGGTTTCTGCAAAGTATCCAGTTCACCTAACGGAAAGTATAGTTCCAATATGACCGAACCTCAAAGTATATTTGAAATTCTGTTTCAGTTTGGAAATGCAGGGGATGAGTTATTAGACGATTCGTGGAATATAGCTAGAAATTATTTGATTTGTGGTTTTAGTCAAGAGGTTATGTATAATTCCTGATTCTTCAGGTAGCATAAGGCTCGCAACCGTTAACAATATGTGTCAACAAGCTGGATTTGATAAGTAGTAAAGGAAGAGCATGGGGATACCCCTGTGCTCTGGAACAGACTTGCAACAAAAGCCTTCCATACAGGAGGGCACGAGAAAATGAGCTTTAAGGTTCAATAGTCGAGAGTCTAAATCCTATTCCGCATCATAGTCGGAATTACCTAGACTTTGATAGCTCACTATCAACATCATTATATATGTAGATGGGCAACCAAATATGATACAAAATTGAGGATGTAAGTAATTGTAAGATTGAAAGCATCAGAATCAATGGCGGGAAGTTGTCGCAAGCACGAAGCCACAATCATGAGAGGGCACTTGCATCTGGCAAAGAGTATCCATAATAGAGATTACCCGTTAAGCAGTTTCGAACGGTATTAAAGCGAAACGTTCATGAGATTTGGCAAGAGCTACCCCATAGATGGACTCGAAACTAATCAAGTCTGAGAAAGGGGTGAATGATAGCCACGACCCAATTTGTAGGGGGAAAACAATTGAAAAACTCGCAAGACCCAATATATCATCTCGACCTGTCCGCTTTTCCTCTTAACATTCAGACAGCTTGCTCCAATTGTGATACTCCTAAGTGCTAAATATCATCTAAATCTCGATTGAGGTAATGATTGATCTCTGATGTAAAGATGTCAAGAGTGAAAGATATTGATCTTGGGACTCATTGACACGTGATGCGGCAAAAATGTAGCAAGCGGCCGCATTGCCGCATCAACCTCAATGTCGACTTATTTTCTAAGCAATACTCACTCTCCGTGAGCACTCTGTAAAGATGAAGCGCATTAATCAACTACCAGTGGTGAATGGCTTGAAAGGCCTACGAATCTCTCGTGGTCAAAGTTTAGCTCCATTGAGCCAACGATATATCCACACAACACCACCTTCGCCCGCAACAGTTGCGCCTGCGGCATTCACAGCATCTGGCCCGCCACCAGCCGCGCCAACTCCCAGTGCCGAGCATGTCGATATTCGGGTCGCAAGGAAGAGGAAGCAAGCAGAGCTACTCAAGAAGGGTCAAGATATGAGAGCTGTAGCTAATGGGAAAGGCGGTGGAACTGCGAAACTCAAGAGGTTCTGGAAGGATGTTAATGTACAGGATACGGAAGGTAACATTTGTCAATTCCTTATTTCATTTTAAATAACAAATCCACTAATCAGTGTTGAGAACGCAGAGGGTTTACAGATATTCCTTGACAAACGAGCTCTCCGAAGACCTTCCAAAGATATCCTCACAGTACCACATCATAAACCACATTTGGCATCTGCCATCGCCCTTGAATGGGATCTCCTTGTATCTGCACAACAAGCTTTGAAGACTCACCTTATACCGATGACTTCACTCGTGAATCGCGCTCTCGATATCATAGATGAAGAAAACAAGGGGGGAGACTTAATCAGGACTCATATTGTTACAACCGTAATGCGATATCTCGATACCGATTCACTTTTGTGTTGGGCACCTGAAGCACCCGAAGATCCACCAGGATATGAAACACATGTTGACAGAGTGGAAAGTTTGCGAAGCATTCAGAGGAAATCTGCGGAGCCTATTATCCAATTCTTATCCGAGAAGGTATGGCCCGGGGTAGAACTTATTCCAGTTTTAGATACGAATAGTATTGTACCTAAAAGTCAACCTCAAATGACCAAGGATATAATAAGAGGATGGGTTTCTGGATTACCTCCATTTGAGCTTGCGGGATTGGAGAGAGGTGTGTTGGCTGGAAAGAGTTTACTTGGAGCTGCACGATTAGTGGTTGAATGGAGTGCTGAGTTGGCACATTTACGAGATGAAGCTGCCGAGAAGAAATTTGGAGTGGAGGAGGCAGCCAAAGCTGCAAGCTTAGAGGTAGATTGGCAGACCGGGATGTGGGGAGCTGTTGAAGATACACATGATGTTGAGAGGGAAGATATCAGGAGGCAATTGGGAAGTGTAGTATTACTTGTATCTGGGGTAAGAAATTAGGTTATGTATACCATGACATCTTCAAAGAATGTATACACTATGTTAATGATGAACTCAACGGCAGGAAAAAGCTCAAAGTTTCAATCTCATAATTATGTTGACTGATAAAACGGAAGAAAAGAATTAAGTCCTATTATAGCGCCTTTGACGCCCATCCACTCAGCTCCTATCAATAAAAATTTCATAACCATAGCACAAACTTTCAATGGACGTATTCGTAATGCATAATCACACTTTCTTACTTCCCTGCTCATCAACATATTGAACAATGCAATCTTATGCTCCAATTTTCTTCATTATTCCACTCCGCCGCTAGTTCATTACAACTGCGCCCTCCCCCAAAAATGCTGCCACCAGACCACCACTTACCCATTATCGATGACTTACTTCCAGTGCCACTCGAGTTGTAAAAGTTATGAGTCGTTTAACCTCACAATTCTTGATATCCTCTTCTAGGATCTTTATCGGTCCTTCCCTCGAATTTCTCACCCACCTCTTTGTTCCGTCTTTGCAGTCTTCTTGCGTTCATTTGTGACCTCGAGAACTCCGATAATATTCTAGTAGTTGGTAAAAGACTAGTTCTCATGTTGTTACTATGCATATCCACTGTGCCGCGCTTCTGATCCTTCGATCTCGTTCGAATAAATAACGGAAGCGCCGCAGCTTTCGTCCTTGCAATCGACCCTCCAGCCAGAGGAAAACTCACATCGTTTGCGGATGGATCGAGATGTAAATAACACAGGTTCGCTGCATAGCAGCAGCCTGCCGTCGAGGTTCGAACTTTGGGCTGTATTTTTCTCTTAGAACGTAACTCCTCTATCTCACCATTTTCGAATTCGAGGTTATAGAGCTCAAGTACCTAAAAATTCGATGGCCAGGATAGGTAAATATATGTGATCGTAGATGTAGTCAACCCTTTTGTTTTTGCTATGGGGTAAACTTGTCCGTGTGGTGCGGCAAGTATATGGAAGACACAGAGAATAAAAGCCATCCTATGCTCAGTCTCAATCGTCTGATATCCACCAGTATTGAATGAGACAGACGAAAAAACAATGAACTGATGCTAGGTGTGTTATTGTCAAAGATTACTCATTCGGCCTTGACATTGCACAATAGATGGGAATAAATTTCTTAGGGCTAAGAATTTTGATTTTCAAGTATTCACTTCTTGATCTTGAGCCTTCACGGTCAAGTATCTTTCTACCACCAGCAATGGCCGCTTTTTAGATAGACGAAAATGCAGCCTTATTTGCCCACACGTAGCTAAGTAATATCTCGTCCAAATTTGTGCCTTCTCTTCTCTTCCTTTCTCCTTGTCAAGAAGATCAACAGCAGAAATATTTTCTGCAATCAATACCATCAAACGAGTAATCAAAGAAAGACGCCATCACCACAAAGCCACCATGCCACCAAAGAAGGTTGTGAAAGCCCCTGCCAAGGGCAAAAAGGTCTCCGCTCACCTTGCTGCCGCCGCCGCCGCCGCCACAGTCGTCGCCACTTGCGAGCCCCGTAACATATCCAATCGCACGTTACAGTGCGAAGCCAAAGGCATTCCGTGGTTTATCGGAACCATGCGGGAAAATTTCAACCAGGCCCTCTGCCGTACACAGAAGGCCGTCGAGAGTGACGAGAAGTGGCAGGCCGCTAACCCTGCTCACAAAAAGGCCATGGTCCAGGCTGCGCGCTCCCAAAAGGAGCAACAAGAGTACGTGTTTAACAAAAGAATCAATCAGAAATTGACAAACGCTAACGCATGTTATATAGGAGGGACCTAGGCTATGATTGGCAAGTTGCGGCAAGAAATATGGGCTTTCGGACCAAGGGCAATAACTTTCTTTGGAAAGAGGGCTGTCCGATTTACGGCACCGCAGGAGCCTCGGATCCTACCGAGGAGGAGGAGGAGGAGGAGGAGGAATTGCCTTTCTCTCTCCCAGACAACGAGCCAAGTAAGTCGTCAAACCACAACCTCCGTTGAATTTGTGATATAATGTGAGACAATAAGACTAAACGATTGTCCAGCAACCAAGAAACGCCGCCGGGACGACGAAGACGACGACGAAGACGACCCCAACGGGGATTATACCAAACGGTATATGAGCTGTTCCATCCCTCGCCAAGTACGTATCAAACTACCACCTCTACCTCGACAATCAACAGATATACAGCGCTCAAAACTGATTCTCAATATAGCGCGTTTAAGCTGCCGCCGTCTTCTCCGGTGCTCTGCGGTCTTCGAGTAAGTACGCTAGACCCCAATATCCCTAATCGATTTGAACAATGGACCAGGTGTACAGAGCAGCGTTAATCTCCAATCTATAGAGTTTAGATCTCTGGTGCCGCCCTGCTCCACTCTGTTTTCCTTGGGTTAGTTTGATACCCTCAATCCACCTCAATCCGTTCGAACAATCAACAGGCATGGTAAGATAAAGGCTAGCTACTAACATAAGTAGTTTAGACTGCCGCTGCTGCCTCCGTTCTGTCGTTCCTTTTGATTAGTACGATATCCTTCAGTGGCTGGTTCGATCAAACAATAGACCGCGGACTTTGATCTCAAAGCTAACCTCCCATTTAGGTTTCTCAAGCTGTCGTTAGACTTTGCGCCACTCCGTGGCCGCCTGGTCAGTACAACGCCCTTTGATAACCCCGATCTACTTGAACAATGGGAAGGATATACTGAGTAACGCTGACCTCCGATTTAGCTTGTTTCCTCTGCTGTCGTACTTTTCGCCGCTCCTTTGCCTTCGGGTAAGTACAATTCCCTTCGACTATCCTGATCTAGACAGATGATCAAAGCTGCCCTTTCGAGAAATCAAGCTAACGTGTTGAAATTCAGGCTCTTCATAAAGCTGCCGGAGGGCGCAATATCTGGACTTGTTTGGTAAGTGCATATCAATCTCCCAGATCAATCCAGACAATAGAAAGCTAACAATATATCCTAGGTCGAATATCGCGAGCTGCAGGCTCAAATCAAATTATTTCTCCGCTCTTCCATCATATTCACACGTGCCAAGACTTCTTGACCTGATTTGAATGATATGTATTATGTATGACTAACTGACTGGCTGAAAGCCCGCTAACTACTAGGTATTTATGTACGTGTTCTCTTGCGTATCGTTGCATCTCATGGTAAACCACCCAGCTCATCGCCAAAAGTTTGGCCCGCCAAAAGCAAAAGCTATGAAAGAAGATTTATACTTTACATTCAGATATCCTACACCCTTCCCTATCTCTTCATCTAAACATGATCACTCCTCTTCCTTTACATCATTAAAAATATCTTCAACACCTGTCCATGCTTCTCCAGTAGCAGCCTTCTCTCGTTCGATCCAATATTTATCGTTGAAAGCCCAGTATTCCTCTCCAGTGATTGGACATTTTGATTTCTCAAACCATTGAGGAACGAAAGCTTCACCAAGCTGTTCACGTTCACGTCGTCTAGCACGTTGCTTCTCTTCAAGGCGATTCTTCTCAGTAGCAGCTAGATCGTACTCGCCATCTTCCATGGCACGCTGATCAGGTCTCAATCGAGAATCCGTTGGTGGCAACCAAGGGCGAAGGTTGTCATTGATGTCATTGAATGTGAGAACGAAAGGAGTCAGATTGAATGGGATACCAGCTGGGCGTGGATTAGCTTCCCAGACCAAAAATGCTTGGCTTGGATCATTGACACTGCCTCTGCGGTGAGAAGAACCGGACTTAGGTTCTTCAACAGTTGCCTCATAACCAGGCGTGAAACGAGCATAAATTTTACTGTTCCAGCGACCACCAAGACTGAAACGAGTTTGTCCGTTTGCATCATTGACTCTACCAGTGATATGATAAGCACTAGAAGCCTTCCAACCTCGAGCCTTGAATTCGACGTTGCAAACTTCACCTGTTGTCCAGTTCTTGATTTCCATTGGCCCATAATTGTCGACCACAGGGTTACCAGTGATGATTCCAACGACGGAAGATGTGACTTTTTTCCAGGTATACAACTCTTCTGGTCCTCCAGATGTGGGACGAAGTTTGAGGAACCAAGTACCGAGAGGGTTGATATCAAAAGACTTTCCATAAAATTTAGACTTCACAGCTGATTCTCCATAATAGGTCCATTTAGGAGATTCAGCCCAAGCAGCACCAACTGGTGGATGATGACTGACTTGCTCGATGAAGAAGCGATAATTCTTATCAGGACGAACATATTCGAAAGTTTCGCCAAGAAGGGGATTGAAAGGTTTTGCAACTCTGTCAATGGTTGATGCATACTCACTTGAGGCGAAAGCTGCAACATATACCATGCGCTCGATTGAGTCTGCTCGATCCGCTGCAATATCTAAAAGATCTGCATATTCCATATCTTCACCACATCGATACAGTAATGACGTCGGTTCGTTGAAAGACACAGGAAGTGTCATTTTAGTCATGTCCTTGCCAATCATAGATTTAAGAATACCCTTGAAAAGTATTAGTGATGTCGGAATAAAACGAGCTCAAATACATACCCATAGAGAAATCTTTGGACGATCATCAGCATCCATCTTTAGACGAGTTCTTACGCCATTTTCGTATCCCTTGAAAGCAGAACTGATGTCTAGCCCCTCAGCTTTTACAAGTTCACCCTCCTCTGCCTCTTCAGTTGCACCTGGGGCAGGGCTCGAAAGCGGTAGAGCTTTGACTACCTCGACTTGGCCGGCATCAACGGCGTCGAAGAATTCGTCATCTTCGTCTGAATCTGAATCAGACATATCAGGGATACCTTCAACCATCGATTTCTGTCGTAATGAGCTTTTGCTAGTCGGTATATGTCTTAAAGGAGCGGTCCCGTCATCATTGAGAGAAACGTCATCAAGAGCCTCATCTATCTCGGCTCTTGCTGCTAGTTCACCTCTACTAGCTGGTCGGGATGCTGATCGAGTGACTTCACGAAGTGCTCGTTTTGTCATCTTTCTCTTCTCCTCCGATTCGCCCATACGAGCCATTAATTCATCCTGTTCACGAGCTACTTGAGCCATACTTTCTTCCCACATCCTTCGCATATGCTCTTCCCGATCAAGACGTTGTTGCCAATATGCATCCCTGTCTTTGGATATTTTCAAAAGATCGCCAACAAGACCCTTGAGATTACGAATGGCCGAATCATATGTCGCGGTTGCTTGGTTCGCAACTGGGTCAGAGATGACGAGATTTGGATTTCTGGATTGCTCTACTTGTAAAGCTGCATTGACTTGGCCCATGAGTTCGAGTTGTAGTCGAGCAGATTGAGCCGTGATTTCAAACGCATCCTTATTTGCCGGCATCTCGTGCTCACTAGAGCCATCTCCATATTCATCATCATCATCTCCATCCAAAGGTCCGGTTCCAATGTGACTTGGTATTCTACTTCCGTCGCCGATGAAGCTTGGGTTGTATGATCCATAGTTAGTTTCTTCTTCATCGCCAACACTACCAGCAATGCTGGTAAATGCGACTCGTGGGCTTGCAATCCTGCTAAGGCTAGTCTGTGGCAGAAGCCTGCTACCTTGAATGCTCTCACGGCGCGAGTCCGTATAGACAAGAGATGGCTCGTTGAGACCATTGCTGTCAAAGGTTTCCTTGGATCCACTACCAGATTGCTCTTTCGCTTGCTGTAACAGTTCTAATCTTTTGGCCTCTTGTCTTTCCTCTTCCTTGGCCTGATCTTTAGTCCATTGTATAGAATTATTCAGCGCCCAAAACCACCTTTTAGCCTCAACTTCATGGTTCGCTTTAAGGTGATATTTAACGGATGATTTTCCAATGATTTCAAATTTGGTCTTCTCTGTAGGATCCATGTTGAGTTTTGCGATGCGCATATTAATCGCACCTCGACAAGCAGACCCAGCATCGTCTTGGTGTTTGGAATAACTTAGGATGCCATCTTCCAAGGTGAACCAACGTAATTGATAACCTTTTCGATAATTTGTCCACTTCTTTAGATAGCCTTGCATTTCTCGACCCTCCTTTCCTGCAAGTGCATCTGACGGGTTGGCGTTGACTGCTCCTTGTTGAGATACATTCCCGAGAACAGCTTTCTCTTGAATTCCCCGTTGAGCGGCAACTGCAGCAGGAGACTTCTTTAACATAGCTTTGGTTGCATCATCTTTTGTGTAATCTTGAGGTAATTTTCCTTTTCGGTCGCGACGGAACGGATCAGCACCATGTAACAGCAACACTTGTATGAGCTCAATGTTCTTTTTTCTGGAAGCCTCATGCAGTAAAGTGCCACCAGCTAGTACCGTGATGGGGTCAGACGTGAATTCTCCACCATTGATATCCAAGACTGTTTTGACTCGAGGTTCCTCCAAGATTTCGCCCAATGTCTTATAGTCTCCGTGCGCAACCAGTTCATGTATTTGCTTTATTTTACCATCCACAAACATTGAACGGGAGAGTTGTAGTTGCTGGAAAATATCGGGTGTTCGAGCAAGGTCGAGAGGTAGGCGACCAACATAATTTGGTAAAGAATCGTTGATACCGGGCTGCCCAAGAAGCAAGCGTACAATAGGGCTACGACCTAAGCTTGCAGCAAGGTGAAGAGCCGTGTTCCCATCACGATCCTTTGCATTGACATCGATTGTTCCCGCTCCATCAGATAACACATACTCGATTACTTGTTGTTCAGCACATTGAATAGCTAAGTGCAGGATGGTGGTATCTTCCAAATTGGTTGAAACGGTTGCGAAGCTAGAAATGCTCATTCGACTACCGTCAGACTCACGAATTGCCTTTGATATCGCTGCTGTATCCCCGTTCTTTAATGCCTCAAATATCTTGAACTTTCGAACGGTCTGCTCAATGGACATTGTCTTATCGGGTGACAAAGTAGCCGTGGTCCGCGGATGGACATTAGAAGCTGATCTCATGAGTCCTGTCGCGCTGGTCGACTTCTTCGAAGCATGTCCGAGAGTGGGCTGAAATGGTGCAGCTGGAAGCGTGGGTGAGTGTGCCGTGGTCGCGGGAGACATGGGGGGTTGATAATCTACATTATCGTCGTCCTTCCCCTCTCTCCTGCTGCGCAGAAGGGATAAAGCAGACGATTTACTCCGTTTGTGACTAATAACATGAGTATTAGCAGGTTGCCACTGTTCACAATACGCCCCAAATCATTCGAGACCTAGAAAGAGGGGGTAACGCTTCCCACGGCATGATCAAATCTAATAATTCTTACTTACGTTGACTCGACGGGGTCCGTCATTGTGGACGTTCTTCTCTTATTCCCAGCTCAATTTTCTGCTGCGTCGTTACAGTGTCGAGTTGTGTGCCAACGAGCAAGTCCTTCGAGGGGTAAATGCCAACTTTCTGGCCAAGCTCGAATGCCCGACAGTACCTTCCCGCCCAAGTTTCAAGAACTTTGGTTGGAAAGAGATGAGGCTCAGGTTGGTGAGAGAGCGAAAGAAAAGTTGAAAATTTGAGATTGAAATTTCGAGTCCTCAAAAGACGGTACAAGTACTCCCTAAAATCTCTCGAGGAAGCAATTATCAATTAGATTGTGTAGTTGTTCTGGCCAAAACATTCGAGTTAACATGGATTAACAATGATGTAGCGAATGTGGAGAAATATATCACGTGTGTGTGGTCGGGGCTCGGGGAAACAATTTAGCGAGAAGAGCTTATTTTCATGTGAATGTTCATTTCTAGCATGAACCCTTCATCACATGAAACCATTAGTTAGAGGTGAAAAGTCAAGAATCCTAACTCCTCAGAGAGATTAAGCTAAGTTTCATAAAATTCTTGAATTTTGCTGTTGTATGCAGGTTCTCTAATAGGGGTAAACTTCATTGAACGCTCTTGCTTCAACAGCGCATTTGCCTCACTGAAAAGTTCAAGAACGTCAAAACCATGACAATCATGCTTATTGTATTATAGGAAATCACAAAGATATGGGTTTCAAAATGATAGTTTGACCTTTATTATATGCAGTTTGTTGATTTGTCTGAAATTTGTAGGACACACTGTAACTCTTGGGCTCTCTTGTCAACATTATTGGCATCTGTTTGACATCTATCAATGAGTTAGTTAAT